TTCTGCTGCAGTTGTAATTCGGGAACAGAGACTAATGCTTCAGCCAAAGGAACTTGGCATGCTTTCTCAAATTGTGAGTTTATTCGAGTGTAAAGTTCCCTTGCGGTCTTGGTCACCTCACGTTTCGTACACTTTTCCTTTTCATGACACAAGTCTCTAACAGTTTGTGCTGCCTCTGCAAAGTCAATTTCCTTTTGGATATGTTTTAATTGGTTGGACTTGACAGGAAATAAAGACTGCTGGTAGCTATATCTCTGAGAACATCCACGACACTCCAGTAAACTATGTTCAGCCTTCTTTGAGGATGGAAGTTTCCTCCACTTTTCCGTGTCAAAAGTAGCAACATATATTGCGCGCTCGTTGATTTTTCGCGAATTCCATTTAACAAACTTCGTGTGGAGATCTGGAAACCTATTTTGAAACGCTATGAAGTCAATACAAAAATTCTCTTTGCATTCACTGAAAGTTTGAATAAAATTTTCGTAGTGTAACTTCGATATTCGCGAACGAAATTTTGGAAGTGACTCTCCGTCCAAACGTGTCGCTTTTGACTGCGTCGATTTTGCCAGCTGCCACGCAATTACTTTGGAAAATCCACAAGTATTAGGGTGAATTAGACTTAAAACCATCATGAACCACGCATATTCAAATAAAATAATATTACATCTTAAAAACATCGAAATAACTTGTTGTATTTGCTGTAGAAGCTTCACTTTGTTGCTTAATTGCGCGAAATTTTTAAATTTCGCGCCGCATAATTTGTTTTGCTATTGGCGTATTCCGCTTTTTACAACAGTGCAGGCTCAATCCAAGATGGCGTCTCTTCGACATTTTTTACGGAAACTTTCGTTTGGCTTGCGGACAAGGATTTTTAACTTTGTTGTTTAAAATAAACATTTAATAACATTGATATTAGCATGTAGTTTTGTGCATTAACTTGATTTTGAGACTATAATTTAATATGCGGCTGAACGGCAAAGAATTCCTGAGCGAATAATAACTCTCAAGGGTATTATTGATTTTGGGGCATTAATAACAAATCTCATCCATGATAACAAGTTAGATACATAAAGTTGAGACACTAAAGTATTTAAAATGAAGAAAAACGGAATTCTTTATTGCGATTTTCCGAGTCCGCAACGCCGTTGAAAAGTAGTAACGATAAATGACCAAAATTGTCACGTGACATGTTTCCATAGAAACGTTAAATGTTTAAGTGGCAAACTCTGACCGCTGTGGTTAAGCACTGTTAATTTCCCCGCAAAAAATGGACTCGCTAATGTTTCCTGACCATTTAAGTGTTTAATCGTAATTTGAAGCTGGACCCATGCATTAATCTACTTGAGTAGTCTAAGGTAGGCTAAGGTGGTCTAAGGTACTCTAAGGTACGCTAAGGTAGTCTAAAGTGCCCTAAGGTAGTCTAAGGTAGGTTAAGGTAGTCTAAGGTACCCTAAGGTAGGCTAAGGTAGTCTAAGGTAGTCTAAGGTAGGCTAAGGTAGGCTAAGGTAGTCTAAGGTACCCTAAGGTAGTACAAGGTAGTCTAAAGTACCCTAAGGTAATATAATGTAGGCTAAGGTACTCTAAGGGACCCTAAGGTAGGCTAAGGTAGTCTAAGTTATTCTAAGGTAGGCTAAGGTATTCTAAGGTAGCTAGTCTAAGGTAGTCTAAGGTAGTCTAAGGTACCCTAAGGTAGTCCATGGTAGTCTAAGGTACCCTAAGGTAGTCTAAGATAGCCTAAGGTACTCTAAGGTGGTCTAAGATACCCTAAGGTAGTCTAAGGTAGGCTAAGGTAGTCTAATTCAGGTTAAGGTATGCTAAGGTACCCTAAGGTAGTCTAATGTAGGCTAAGCTAGTCTAAGGTACCCTAAGGTAGGCTAAGGTAGGGTAAGGTAGGCTAAGGTAGTCTAAGGTACCCGAAGGTAGGCTAAGGTAGTCTAAGGTAGTCTAAGATAGGCTAAGATAGGCTAAGGTAGTCTAAGGTACCCAAAGGTAGTACAAGGTAGCCTAAAGTGCCCTAAGGTAATATAAGTAGTTTAAGGTAGGCTAAGGTATTCTAAGGTACCCTAAGGTAGGCTAAGTTAGTCTAAGGTAGTCTAAGGTAGGCTAAGGTAGTCTAAGGAATCCTAAGGTAGTCCAAGGTAGTCTAAGGTACCCTAAGGTAGTCTAAGGTAGGCGAAGTTACCCTTAGGTAGTCTAAGGTAGGCTAAGGTAGTCTAAGGTAGTCTAAGGTAGGCTAAGGTAGCCTAAGGTACCCTAAGGTAGGCTAAGGTAGTCTAAGGTAGGCTAAGGTAGGCTAATGTAGTCTAAGGTACCCTAAGGTAGTCCAAGGTAGTCTAAGGTACCCTAAGAACTCCTTTTCGACCGGCCCTTTGAAAACTATTGCAGATCTGCAATAGTATTTTGGAGGTTCATATCTTCGGTTCAGTACATGCTACGTAGATGAAAATACCCCCATTCGATTCAGGGAAATAATATCTCCTGATTCCTAGTGATAGTTTTAGTCAAACGCAAATATTATAGCGATTTATGACATTTGAAGGGTCGAGAGGTATCATATTTCAACAAATAACATATTTGTTCTAAAAATGTAAACAATGTAGCACTAAAACCATGCCTTTCGCTGGACACGACTTTGGCCCCTTCGAACATGTGTTTATCATTGTAGTCTTGTTTGATTCACAATCAAAAACACTATTTACAGTGTTATTTTGAGGCTTGCAGCCTCGGGTTTTCGTCTTTTATTTCGATATTTCATTCTGTTGCGATCGTTAGTGAAGTCAACAGGATTTTTTTTGACCGGAAATGCGATTTTGCAGAACTGCAATAGTATTTTGGAGGTTCATATCTTCGGTTCAGTACATGCTACGTAGATGAAAATACCACCATTCAATTCAGCGAAATAATATTTCCTGATTCATAATGATAGTTTTAGTCAAAGACAAACATTATAGCGATTTATGACCTTTGAAGGGTCAAGACGTATCATATTTCAACAACTTAATATTTGTTCGAAAAATGTAAACAATTTATCACTAAAGCCATACCTTTTGCCAGACACAACTTCGGCTCCTTCAAAC